CAAGTGCCCTGTGCCTGACACCCCCCCCACAGAAGTGCCCTCCGCCCCAGTGGCCTCAGCAGCAGTGCCCTCCACAGAAGTGATGGGTGATGCTCCAACCCAATGCAGCAGCATCCACAGCTGGGAAAGCAAGAGCAATCCAGGAAGTCTCCGTGTGCAGCTAATTTCACCCCCCTTCCTCTTCTTCTCTCATGCTTTCCTTTTCTCTTTCTTTCCTGTTCTTCTCCCCTGCTTTCCCTTTCTTTCACATCCCTTCCTTCTTCTTCCCAGCCTGTTCCTGTGACCATTTCCCAGCTCTGAGCTTGTACCCACCTGCCATCCTGTTCTAAGTGGCAACTTGAACCTGTGTAAGTGGCAACGGACTTTGTAGTTGCACATCTTGGCATTCTCCTCCCTGCAAGGAGCTGGTATCCAGGATATGGGATCAGCTTTTAAATTGTTCTCAGGTGTTTCCCTCCTATCTTGCATTGTGAGCACTCGCCAATAAAATTTCTTTTCATGGCATCCACTGACTCCTGGTTTCTCTAACCAAACAGCTGCACGGTTTCCTCTCCACTGCCCCCTCCAGCACAGGCTTTCTTGAGCTGCTCCACACAAGGAAGCAACTGGAGCCTTGTGACCATGGTGCTGTATGCATGGGGCAGAGGGTAACTGCTATTGAAGCTAATGGAGAAGGAGCATCTTGCCCCATGCCCATACGGCACGGCCTCATTGAACCCATTCTCCAGGTGCAGGGCAAGGATGGCCAAGCTGTGCTGCGTGCATGGGCTGTGGCACATCATGGCAGGGCAGGAAGCTGAACAGGTGGTCAGGCAAGGGAAGGGGATTGGAGTGGCACTCGGGCAGCACACAGTGGGGGCAGTGGAGTGGTAATTTGTGGCTCACACATCAAAAAGGCTGCCCCACTGCCCCAGGGCACCTCTGCTTGTGCCTGTGCACAGACTCTCCCCCTTTTCCAGATGTTTGTTCCAGGGTTTGTGCTCAGGGATGCTCTCCCATCCCATTCTTTCTCTCAGCCATGGCTGTCAGCAGCACTGCTCTGAGCTCAGCCCATGATACAGATTGTCAGCAGGGAACATTTTGGTCCTGGTTTGGGCCTCCCACAACAGAAAGAGTGTGGGTAATTTTTCCAAAGCACTGGAAAAGGGCCAATGTGGTCCCTATTTTCAGGAAGGGGAGGATGGAGAAACTATAGGCTGGTTAGTCACGCCTCTTACCTTGGGAAAATCTTTGAAGAAATTATTAAGGATCACATTTGTGGGAGTCCAGCAGGAAAAACAATGCTAAAAGGCAACTAGCATAGGTTCATAGCAGGTAGATCCTGTCTGACTGATCTTGTTTCTTTTTATGACCAGGTCACAAAATGCTTAGACACAAGAGTCAAGGTTGATGTAATTTATTTGGATTTTAAAAAGGCCTTTGATACAGTGTCTCATCCCATTCTCATAAATAGACTAAGTGGCTTTGACATAGATGATTACACAGTCAGGTGGGTGGCAAATTGGCTTAAGGGACGCACCCAGAGAGCGGTTGTGGATGGGTCGGTATTGACCTCGAAAGATGTGGGCAGTGGGGGGTTCAGTCCTTGGACTGGTGCTGTTTGGTGTCTTCATCAGGGACCTGGACGAGGGTGTGTAGAGCACTCTGTCCAAATTTGTGGATGGTACCAAATTATGGGGCAAAATAAACACACCAGTGGGCAGGGAATGGATTTAGGAGGATTTGGACAGGCTGAAAAAGTGGGCAGAGCAGAATAGGATGCAGTTTAATAGAGTTAAGTGCAAGGTAGTGCACCTAGGGAAAAGGAATCTCCAACACACATACAGACTGGGAGATAACGTCCTAAGCAGCACAGAAGCAGAAAGGATCTCAAAGTCATAGTTAACTCTAAGGTGAACATGAGTTGTCAATGTGATGAAGCGATGAGTAAAGCTAACCACTCTCTATCGTGCATTAGCAGATGCATAATGAATAGGTCCAGGGAGGTGATACTTCCCCTCTATGTGGCACTGGTCAGGCCGCAGTTGGAGTACTACGTCCAGTTTTGGGCGCCGCACTTCAAGAGGGATGTGGACAACATGGAGAGGGTCCAGAGGAGGGCCACTCATATGGTTAGGGGCCTGCAGGTAAGGTCGTCTAAGGAGAGATTGAGGGCCATGGATTTCTTCAGTCTTCACAAGAGAAGGCTGAGAGGGGATCTAGTATTTGTCTACAAATTTGTCAGGGTGGGGACAGCAAGGAATAGGAGATGCTATGTTTACAAGGGCACCCCTTGGAGTTACTAAAAAAATGGCCACAAATTGACAGAAAGCAGACTTTGTTTGGACATCAGGAAGAACTTCTTCATGGTAAGGGTTGCCAGAATCTGGACTGGGCTTCCAAGGGAGGTGGTGCTCTTTAAGAGGACACTGGACAAACATCTGGCTGGGGTCACCTGACCCTAGTGCTCTTTCCTGCCCAGGGCAGGGGGTCAAACTGGGATTTGGCTCCCTGTCCTACAGGTCAAGGCTCCATCCAGGAGGACCATGTGTGGGACAGGGAAAGAGGGGCCAAAGGCACCAACATCCATTACCAAATGTGGGGAACAGTAAATGTTGGTGATGGGGAGAGCCAGACACGGAGAGCAGTAGGTGCCAGAGGTGATGGTGCCTGTGGCTAAGGTCCCCAGTTCTGCCTGGGAGACCAGTGCTCTGAGTTCAGCTCCTGACACAGACCCCTGAAATAGCCTTGGGTAAGACCCTCCCTCTCCCCTTGCATTCAGGTGCCCTCTGCCCCGTGCACATTGCACCGCAGTCACGAGGCTCCAGTCACTGCCTTGTGTGGAGCAGCTCAAGGGAGCCTGTGCTGGAGAGGGCGGTGGGGAGGACACTGTGGAGATGCAGGGTTAGAGACACACCAGGAGTCAGCGGTTGCCATGAAGGGACATTTTTATTGCAACTTGGTCACAATGCAAGATAGGAGGAAAACACCTGAGAATAATTCAAAAGCTGATCCCACATCCCCGCACCCAGCTCCTCCTGGAAAGGAGGATGCCAGGAGTCCAAATTACAAAGCCTGTTGCCACCTACACAGATTCAAGGCACCACTTACAACAGGATGGCAGGTGGGTACAAGAGCAGAGCTTTGAAATGGTCACAAGAACAGCCTGGGAAACCAGTGGAGAAGATGAAGGGATGTGAAAGAAGCTGCACGCAGGGACTTGCTCCCTTGCTCTTGGTTTCATGGTGGTAGATGTTGCTGCAGCGGGTTGGGGTGTCAGTCTTCACTTCTGTGGAGGGCACTTCTGCTGAGGACACTCAGGTGGTGGGCATTTCTGTGGAGGACACACCGGTGGAGGACACTTCTGGGGAGGACATACTGGAGGAGGACACTTCTGGGGAGGACAGTCCGGTGGAGGACACTTCTGGGGAGGACACACTGGTGGAGGACACTTCGTGGGAGGACACACTGGAGGAGGACACACGACCTGCTTGCACTGCTGCTGGTTTGGGTAAGACATGGTTCTTCGATTCAGAGAGACCTGGAAGTGAGAGAGAGCACAGCACCGGTGAGCAAGCACCATCCTCTCCGATGCCTCCCTTCCGTGTATCCAAGCAAAGACACAAGCAAGCAACCCAACCCTTGGGTATAACACCACGTTCCTGAATCAGCAATGCCTATAAAATAAGAGGCTAAGCTCATGCTGGCACCAAAGTGAAGCTTTCAGAATGAAAAAGAGACTTACCTGTCTCGTGAAGAGCAGTGAATGAATGAGGAGCCAAGTGGATAGGGAAGCAGTGGAAATGAGAGTGCTTTTATAGGGATTTGTGCCCTGGCTGTGCAAAGTGGCCATGCCCATCGCATGGCAGGAGGCAATGTGTAATTCCAGACCTGCCCATTAGTAACCACCTTAATTTCCTCATGTTAATCATCCTTTGCTTTTGATTGTTTCATTTCTGGAAAAGGCTCCAGACCCTTGTCATTTTTTTCCTTCCCCATGTTGAATCACGTGGAATCGAGAGCATAATTGTTCTCATTTACAGAAACAAATAACTTGCTGTTTCATTCTCCTCCAGGCTTTCAAGTCTGTATTACACCTTTTTTTGCCCTGTTACATCAGTTACACAGAAACTAGACCCTGGATGCAGTGCTGATGTGTCCTCCATTTCTAATACGGGATCTTTAGCTGCTGAGAATGACCACCCTTCACTTAAAATAAATTAATATGTAGTGTAAGACTGGAAGGGACCATCGGATCTGATGGTTGGGGAGCTGGGGCACATCACTTGTGAGGAGAGGCTGAGGAAACTGGGCTTATTTAGTCTGCAGAAGAGAAGACAAGGGGAGATTTAAGAGCAGACTCCAGTCCAGCTCCATCCTCTTTGGACCCACCCTGCAAGGAGCTGATCTCAGTGGGGGCAGATGACAGACAAGGAGCAATGGGCTCCAGTTGCAGCAACGGAAGCTGAAGTTGGATATTAGATGAACTTTCTCATGAGGAGGGTAGTAAAGCAGAGGAACAGGCTGCCCAGAGAGGTGGTGGAGTCTCCATCATTGGAGGTTTTTAAGGCTTGGCTGGGAAAAGTCTTAGCTGGCATGATCTCGTTGGGACTGGTCCTGCTTTGGAGCAGGGGGCTTGGCTAGATGCGACTCCCCGAGGTCCCTTCCAGCCTTCATTTTCTATTATTTTCGATGATTCTAAGATCATTCAGTCTGTCTTCCTGTATAATACACTCCCCTCCCCTTCACTGAACCAATATCCTGTATGTATCTGAAACAAGTTTTCCAGAAATCTTCAGCATGAATTCCTGGACCTCACAGATCCTCAGGACCCAGAAACTCAGACCCAGCCACTTTCCCTTGGTAGCTCATCCAAATAGTGTTTTGCAGTCACTGCTAGAAAAAAATGGCTTTAATTTCTAGCCATTGGTTCTTATTTGTTTCTCCATCTTCAACCCCTGGTCTGTGGTCCCTTGTAGTCTGGAAATGTCTGAATTCACTTCTCTTCTATTCAGCATTTCAAGGCACTGGACACAGCTGTGACAGCCAGTTGGGAAGCATCATTCAAGATGGATGGAGCCTTGCTTGGGTATATGGGCCTGCATGTTTAATGGGTAATTTTAGCTGGCTCTGAGCACACTGATGTCCAGTTTAGTGCCTGGGGTGAGTTCAACTGTCTTCTATATGTGTGTGAAGTAGACAAGGGAGAAAAGCAAATCCATTTTCCATCCTGAAATATTGATGCTAATTGCTTGTGATGTGGCAGCACCTAGGAGCCCCCAGTCAAAGACCAGGACTTCATTGAATAGGCATAACAAATATAGGCTACACCCCCCCCCCCCCAAAAAAGGTTAATGCCATTGAATTTTAAGATACATAACACATAATGTTGTACAAGCACCCTAAAAGTTTAATTTATCCTAGCAAGAACTAGGAAGTAAGAATAGGAGTTATGGAGACAATGTCGCTTGTGCAGAATATGGGTAGGAAAATTGTGGTTAATGATTTTATTCACTTATAAATAAAAGTACTTGATTTGGATTCACAGCTTAGGGAAGTCAAGGGGAAGTTCATTGTCTTGAGCCAGACAGTGGGTAAGCACCTTCTGAAGATGACATAATGGTGAATTTCTGGGGCAATTGTCCTATTCATTTCTCTGCTATGTTAACAATCCACCTATGCCCGTCCCTGCAATAGGAACATGTTTTCCATTTGTGGACTAGAAAAAATAATTGCCTAATTAGCATTTCATTAAGGCAAGGGTGGAGTGTAATTGATTTGTATGGGAAAAGAAATATTTAGGTGTGTAGGTGACATTGTTTCCAAATCATTGTTTAATTATGTCGTTTGCACAATAGAAGGAATTGAAGAGATTCCTTCTTGTATTATTCCTGTTAACCCACTTAGGTAACACTTCTGAACAAGACTAACAAGTACCATTTTTTTTAATGAAATTGAGTCAGGAAATAAAACTCCGCGTTTTGAAGTTGACCCTAGGTGAGTCGGAAAGATTTTTTTTCCTTGTACCTGGAATTCATGTTCTATATGTCTTCCCATCCCCGCCCGCGGTTTTTATCTATCAGCGAGACTCATAGTGGGAACTCCATTACTAGTCAATATAGTACTTTGGAGCCATCTGTGAGATCCCATCAGCCAAATTCAAGACAGGTTGAAGAGAAGTGGAGGGATGACTGATACCACTTTCCATGGGATTACATGACATGTCTAATTATGTACAAATCCATGAACCATGTAGGCACTCAGCTACTTTAAAAATGCAACCAAAGGTGAGCATGAGGTTGGGAATCCACCTACTTCATTCCTCAGAGAATCTCGCACGGCTTGCATGGTGGAAGAACGGTGTGACTCGTGAGAAAGCCAGGCATTTTTCTTTTTTTTAGCAAGCGTTATGGCAACCCTACTGTTGTTTATTACCTCTCACGTGCACTTGTTACATCTCTCCTGGTTACACCTCACTTGTGCTTCCCCACGACCTTGCCCCCTGTTCTTAACTCATCATGGGCACTCACCAGGTGGCCCTTAGGGGCAATGAGGAATCGTCCCTGTTGCATGTCTCTTTTGGTCCCATATAGAAACCATCCCAATGGAGCAGTGCTGATTGACACTAGCTGCAGATATGAGCCAACCACTATGGGAGGAAACTCTGTGTTTTTGCCTGTTTTGTTAATACGTGAATTCTCAAGACAACTGGCCAAAACCTGATGAGATAAGCCATGCGGGCCCAGCCGAGACTTTAAGACCTAGGGTCAGGTTGACACAAATTGTTAATAAATTAGTAAGTTATTACAAAGTAGGTGGGGCTGCCCTTAGAAACAACTATCCCCCTGCATCTGAGAATGGGAGGTTTCTTTGACAAATCATGACTGAGCCCAAGAACGAAGGAGTTCTTCTTTCTGGTTATGAAAGGATGTGGTTGAGGGCAGCCGTATAGAAGAGCTCCAGCCAAAAGGCTTTTCACTCTTCTTGGCATCTTGTTCCCTTATTTCTGTTGATGAACCAGGTAAGTCGCCCTCTGACAATTTGTTTCATCCTTTGGCTAGCATTTCTTTGTTACCCCCCTACAGGTAAATAATGATTTCACTTAGGTCATGAACCCCACTGATGGCTCTAGAAGCAATTTCCATCCATCCATTTCAGTGCTTATCCTCTTTTAAATATTTAAAACAAATTTAAAGATTATTCCACATTGTTTTCAGTTAGCACTATGAAGGAGCTCTGGACCAAGTCAGGTGCTGTTTTGCTAGTTGTTGTGTGTGTTATGATTTCATTGTGAACAGAACGTGATGAGAGCAAGGGAAGATGAATATCCCTGGTTTACAGAAGGGGAACTGAGAAGAAACAGGGAGATCAAAAAAGTTGGTTGAAGAACAGAAAAGTCTCCACATCGTGCAGGGTTTGCTTTGCAATTTCACAGTTATGTGATTTTTTTTTTTTTTTAGCTTGCTATGATTTGGGGTTTTCTAATCATGCCCTGCTGATGAGCGCAATTAAACGAGATCTGGGTTGTTTGTCCAACTGCACACACCTACTCTAGGTTTTCAGAGAGTCTCCAACTCTGGAGAAGTCACAGAAGAGCCACAAGTGGAGACAGGGGCATTTTTCATTTTGCCCCTGGCCATTCCAGAGCTCGACCTTCTGTGCAAAAATGGGGATTATTAATGATATTTACTTTCTTCCCATCCTTTGCCTTCTCCCTTCAGTTTCCCAACTCCTGTGCCTCTTCGTGGCAGCCAGCTGAAATGCCAGCCCTGTGTTTTGTCAAGGTCTCAAAATGCTTAACTGTCATACAAATAATTATAATAGCACTTGAACAATATCCCATGTTGCAATTCACTCAGCCGATATCACCGGTGATTATTTTACTATGACCTAACCCTGTTGTGCATGTTGCGTGTTCTTGAAAGAACAGGGATCTTCAAGCCATTTTAAAACTTTCTCTCATTAAGCTAGTGGTTAAGATTTCAATGTAGCCGTAGCTCAAGGGACTCATGAATCCACAGAAACAAGAAAAGCAGGATCCTGTTTCCTTTAAAGCTAATGAAAAGCCATCTCCATTTTTGTTTTCAGATTTGCCTGGATTGTCAGAAGATGTCTTCACAGCAGCAGTGGGTACCTTCAAAATGTCAAGATAAATGCCCTCCCAAATGTCTGGAGCTGTGCAAGCCTCTAAAATGCCAAGACAAATGCCCTCCAAAGTGCCCACCGCAGCAACAACAACAGCAACAGCAGCAGTGCCCACAGCAGAAGTAGTTCAAACATCTGCAGAGCCAGCTTTAATGCAACAAAAGCAAGATGCCCATCTCTTTTTTCTCTGTTGCTTGGCTAAGCCCATGGTCTTATTGTTGAGAGAGTCTGCAGAAGCAGTCTTGTCTGCGCTCTGCCTCTATATGTTAAATTTGTCGTAAACACTTCAAGATCGGCTGTCAGCTGTCTGTAGCCTGTACGTGCTCAGTGATACTGCTTTGTACCTTGGCTGCTGGAGTAGTCATTACTCAGTTGTAATCTTGCCTTGTGGATGTGCTCCAATAAACCCATCATTATCTGTCCCTGATATTTCTTTTCCCTTTGCTTTGTTGATCATTGGCTCTACTCCTTTTATACAATGATTTCTTTAAAATCTTGCTAGGAAGTCCCACCTAATAAAGATGACTGATCAAAATCAGCAGTGCCAAAATGGAGAGAGAATTCAAGGAAAATCAGGAGGTTCAATGAATGTTTTGGTCAAATCATGTAGAGAAAATGTTTCTAAAAAAAAGCCCCAGAGAGTTATTGGCAATATGTAAATTCTGCCATTTATTTCCTA